CTTTGGTTGTTTTGGCCGTGGCTAAAGGAGGGGGTAAAGGAGTAAGGGTGATCTTCTTCTTATTCATCAAAAATGAATAAGTGTTGGCATATCCATCATATTGCACACGATGATCAAACAGCCATGGTCGTCCCAAGTGGATGTGCTATGCGTCCATCGGAATGATATCACACCATACTTCGTCCTTATACGAACCGCCAATGCTTAAGGAAATGAGGCTTTGTGTGTCAACACGTAAATCCTTGCCATGATTCAACCATTGAATCATATACGGCTTCGGGTGCGGTGACGTCTTTAAACGCAGCTTGTCCACCATGGTTTTGGAAGCTACATTCGTGCAACTCCCGCTATCAATGATGAGGGAACACACCTTCTTTTGGACAGTACAGCGGGTGTGGAATATATTTTCCCGTTGTAGTTGTTCCTCGTGGCATGATAGAGTGCTCAAAGTCCTACGGATGACCAGGAGTTCACCATCATCGGGACCAACGTACTCATCTTGTTCGTCCGCTTCTTCAACTTCTTCTTCGACCCAAGTTGGGTCGCAATCTTCTTCATCACACTCAACGATCGCCATAACCTTCTTGTTAGGGCACTCGTTAGCATAGTGACCGCGCCGTTGACAACGGAAACAAATAGGGGCTTTCTTGATGGGATCAGCCCCTGTAGGGAAGGAGGAGGAGGGGTTTTTGGACGGTGTTGGGGTTGAGGAGTTGGGGGTTTGGCCGTGGGCAGTAGGGGGTGTTTTGGAAGGATAATAGGTGGTTTTTTGGGAGATTGGGTTAGGCCGTGCATAGGTAGGGTTGGGTTTGGGAAAGAGGGACTTGGACTTCTTGATTTGTGCCTCAACTTTGAGGGCTAACTTGGTGAGCTCCTCGAGGGTCTCGTAGCTTTGTAACTCCATCGTATTGGCTATTTGTAGGTTCAAGCCAAAAAGGTAGCGTACAAAGGTTTGCTCATCGTCTTCTTGTAAGTCACACATCAACAAGAGTTCCTCGAACTCTCGGTTATAATCTTCCACGGACTTTGAACCTTGCTTAAGTGTTTGGAGCTTAGCAAAATTCTCACGAACGTACTCAGCGGGTAAGAACTTCTTCTTCAAGAGGGACCTCATTTTAGTCCAAGTAGACACTGGTTCCTTACCGTTTCTTCTTCTTTTGGTGCAAGTATTGGTCCACCACTTGGATGCATACTTGCGGAACTTCAAGGCCACTATCTTGACCTTCTTCTCATCGGAAACTTCTTTGAAATCGAAGACGCGTTCCACCGTTTCTAGCCACTCTTGAATCTCGTCCGGGTCATTCCTTCATTCAAAGGTCGGGATGTCCACTTTGAAATCAGACCCGTCATTAGTTTTGGCCTTGGTGGTGCTACTGGTACTAGCATCATCCTCATGATCACTTCCTTGAAGGGTGCTGAGCTTTATCTTGGGGAGCTTAGCTACCTCCTTAGCCAAGTACTCTACTTGGGCCTTTAAGGCGGCGTTGGATGCAACGAGCTCTTCATGAGACATGGGCTGAGATTCATTTGACATGGTTGGGCTGTGAACAAAGGGTTGGTAAAAAAAGGGGAAGGGGAAAGCTTGAGGGAAGCGCCTTGGTCCTTGGGGATGCAGAACAATGAGATTTGATAGCAAATGTTGTACCCGAGCTCCGGGATTAGGCTTTAGGTTCAGGAACAAACCCTCTTAAGCTGCCAGAGAAAGGAATAATCGATTATCAATTTGTGGTAATCGACTAACAAGAGGTTCAGATTCTTGGGAAGGAAGTTTGGGAGTTCAGGAAGGGAAAATAGTCGATTGTCAAGATAGCAACAATCGATTATAAGATATGTAGCTCAGGCCAAGAAGATTCAGAAGGGCATGATAATCGATTATCAATAGTTGATAATTGATTATTTGGGGTTTCAGATTCTGCCAGGGGAGTTTTAGGGGTGTTGGATAGTCGATTATCAGTGAAGAATAATCGATTATCAAGGTTACCCGAGGTTCAGTATGGAAGGAAAATGGCTAGGTTATGTGGGGAAGTTATGAGAAAGGATGATAGGGTGCTTTTAGGCTTAATGGAAGAAAAGGAGGGAGATTTTAGTGTGGGAGATGGAGGGATATGGGGTGGAGAAAAATCAGGGATAGATATCACCAAGTTGGGGTTAAGAGATATTACACACTCTTATCTTAACTTGGGGTTGAGTCTAGTATTTAAATAAGATATGACACACTTATCTAAATAACTAGAACCTAAAACTCACACTCAAGAGAACCACTCTTAAAATATAGATTTAGGATTTTAAAGTAGCACACACAAACAAGTGTATTACTAAGTTGAAAATGGGAATACAATCTGCCCCTTACAAAGGCCTATGGCCGCAATATATATAGCAAAATAAGGGAGACTACCAAGTCTCTTATTCACACAAATTAAAGAAATTAATGGCCACTTGTTGATGTTCCTTTGGTGGGAGGGAATATGTGAATATAATTCACAATTGATTGGCTTAGGTAGGGCTGTTTTGGGCAGGAGAAAAGGGGTGGGGTAGCAGGTTATTTGGAGGTATTTCCTGGGCTGGATATGGGGTAAAAACATGGGGGTTGAAGGGTGTGGGCCAAGGTGTCTTGGATTTTATGGCTGTTTGTTTAGCCAAGTTGAGGTGTAAGTGAGTGGTATTGGCAGGGTTGTGGCATGGGGTTTTTGGCCAGGGATGAAGGAAAAATAAATGTAGTTTTGGGTTTATTATTTTGGATATTTTGGGGTTTGGATTGGATGAGAATGGTCGGGCCTTTTAAGTTGGAGTTGGGCTCAGGGAAATTATGGCTATGTGACGGGTTTTAGGATTGATAAGTTTGGTCCAAAAGGAATCATAACACTTAGCCATTATTCCGTTAATTTGCTTAACGACTTTAGAGTCGTTGGTAGCCGCCCGGGGTATATCAATATTGGTTGTTTTTGGCTCTTGTTTTTCGGCCAAGCCTTAAGGAAAAGAGGGGGAATATTTGTGGGTCATTTGATGAGTTTAATTGGGTGTTTATGATGAGAAAGAGTGTGGGTAAGGTGGGTTCGGCCTAGGGTAAAAAAGGGAAGGAAATGGGTTGTTGTTTGGGGTGTTTAAGGTGAAGACAAGCCTAAGGACATTACGGTTAAGGGTTTGGGTTTAAGAGGGGTAAATTCATTCCAAAAAGGATCGTAAGATTTAGTCATTAATCCTTCTTCTTCATCAGCTCATGCTCATAGGTTCTGAGTTCATCAAGGAGACCTTGGACAGTGTAGTTCTTCCTTCTTCTTCATCAGCTCATGCTCATAGGTTCTGAGTTCATCAAGGAGACCTTGTTCTTCCTTCTTCTTCATCAGCTCATGCTCATAGGTTCTGAGTTCATCAAGGAGACCTTGTTCTTCCTTCTTCTTCATCAGCTCATGCTCATAGGTTCTGAGTTCATCAAGGAGACCTTGGACAGTGTAGTTCTACAGTTTTCTTCCTTCTTCCATGGCTGTGGCTTTGGTGTACCACTCAGTTGGAAGAGATCTCAGTAACCTTACATTCTTTTCTTTGGGAGAAAGAACGTGGTTAAGTGATGCAAGATCATTTATGATTTTGTGGAATCTTTCATCCAACATATCAAATGATTCTCCGGGAAGCATTTTGAAGCTTTTGAACTTCTCAAGCAGGACTTCTATCTTCTGCTTTCTCAGGTCCTCCGATCCCTCACACAGCTTCCCAAGACCTTGCCAAATCTCCATGGCAGTCTTGAGATGCTTGATCTTGGAGAAGGTGATGGGATCAAGTGTCTTGAAGATGGCTGCTTTGGCGACGTTGTCCAGATTGTGCTTCTTGCAATCTCTATCATCCCATTTCTCCTTGGGCTTTGGAATGTACTGGACAACATCAGGATTGGCTGGATTCCTCTCAGGGTTCTCCATTTGGATTTTCAAGGGTCCATCTTCAAGCACCATCCACATGCAATCATGTAGAGCGTAAAGGTGTGCTTCCATCATGATCTTCCAATCATCATAACCTAGAAGAGAAAACTTGGGCAAACCGTGATCCATATTGTTCACCATTATGATCGCTTCTCGTTAATCTAAATGTAGATAGTGAGAAGGCTGCTCCGATACCAATTGGTGGTCCCAAAGTGGTGAGATACAAAGTCTAGAGGGGGGGGTGAATAGACTTTGTTACAACTTAAAACCTTTTTCGTTTCTTTTGAAAACGTGAAAATAGTGTAAATCTAGAGTTCTTGGGAACTTTATATTGTGTGCGGAATTTGGTGGGTAGTATGAGCAGTAATCAATATGGATGGGTTAGTTTTCACAGTTAATATAATTACAAGTGAGAGTAAAGATAAAAGAGAGAGACACGCAAACTTTAACGAGGTTCGAAGGTGGGGTAATCCTTCTACGTCCTCAAAATCCACTATGTAGTTGGTTGTTGAATAATGAACCAACAATTACACTTATGTGAATTTCTGCACGGTATATCTTCGCAAGGCCAAAGTTGCTACTGCACTCGTGCTGGCTTTGTTATTCCTTCGAAGGTCACGCTTCTTCAACAACTGCAAGATCCGAACAATAGGACTTGCAAGATCAACTTGTAAGAAAGTTGATCTACCCCCTTTTAATCAAGAAGTTTGATCAAAAGTTATATCCTTCAACGTGGTGTGATACTCGAGGCAAGGAAACCTTCAAGTGTTTACACTATAGCTCTTTGGAAGGAGGAGAAGTTTGCTTCTGGATAAGGAGTTTAGAAATCTCTCTTTATCAAGATTATTGGGCTAACTGTGAATGAGATAGACGTACAAAGGTTTGCTCATTGTTTTCTTGTAAGTCACACCTCAGCAAGAGTTCCTCGAACTCTCGGTTGTAATCTTCCATGGACTTTGAACCTTGCTTAAGTGTTTGGAGCTTAGCAAAATTCTCACGAATGTACTCAGCGGGTAAGAACTTCTTCTTCAAGAGGGACCTCATCTTAGTCCAAGTAGACACTAGTTTTTTACCGTTTCTTCTTCTTTTGGTGCAAGTATTGGTCCACCACGTGGATGCATACTTGCGGAACTTCAAGGCCACTATCTTGACCTTCTTCTCATCGGAAACTTCTTTGAAATCGAAGACGCGTTCCACCATTTCTAGCCACTCTAGAAACTCGTCCGGGTCATTCCTTCCTTCAAAGGTCGGGATGTCCACTTTGAAATCAGACCCGTCATTAGTTTTGGCCTTGGTGGTGCTACTGGTACTAGCATCATCCTCATGATCACTTCCTTGAAGGGTGCTGAGCTTTATCTTGGTGAGCTTAGCTACCTCCTTGGCCAAGTACTCTACTTGGGCATTTATAGCGGCGTTGGATGTAACGAGCTCTTCATGAGACATGGGCTGAGATTCATTTGACATGGTTGGGCTGTGAACAAAGGGGTGGTAAAAAAAGGGGAAGGGGAAAGCTTGAGGGAGGCGCCTTGGTCCTTGGGGATGCAGAACAATGAACTCTGATACCAAATGTTATACCTAAGCTCAGGGTTTTATAGGCACAATCTTGTTAATGGTAGGGGAGAGAAGATAATCGATTGTCCAAAGTGGATAATCGATTTACAGAAGGGTGTCAATCGATTATTGAGAGTTGCAGGTTCAGGGAAAGGCTGATAATCGAATATCTGAGAATGATAATCGACTATTGAAGGCTGCAGGTGTTTCTCGAAGGGTGGTTAATCGATTAATAGTGGTGATAATCGACTATTTGGCAACTCGGGACAGGAAAGAGGTATTTCTTTGGGAAGGGGAACAAGCCAAGTTGGTGTTAAGGGATATCACACACCCTTATCTTAACTTGGGGTTGAGTCTAGCATTCAAATAAGATATAACACACTTATTTAAATAACTAGAACCTAAAACTCACACTCAAGAAAACCACTCTTAAGATATAGGATTAGGAATTTGGAATGAAACACACAAGTGAATCACTTTGATTTAAAATGGAATACAATGTGTTCCTTACAAAGGCCTATGGCCGAAATATATATAGCAAAATAAGGGAGACTACCAAGTCTCTTATTCACACAAATTAAAGAAATTAATGGCCACTTGTTGATGTTCCTTTAGTGGGGAAAAACACAGGGATTATTGTACTTGTAGGGAAGGATTTTTGGCCATTAATGGTGGGAGGGAATATGTGAATATAATTCACAATTGATTGGCTTAGGTGGGGCTGTTTTGGGCAGGAGAAAAGGGGTGGGGTAGCAGGTTATTTGGAGGTATTTCCTGGGCTGGATATGGGGTAAAAACATGGGGGGTTGAAGGGTGTGGGTGTGGGTCAAGGTGTCTTGGATTTTATGGCTGGATATGGGGTAAAAACATGTTCAGTTATCAGTACCGGTAACATCTTATACGGTCAAAAGTATGAGAATCCAGAGAAATTGGATCCGTGCAAGAAACAAGTTCAATTATTAGTATCGGTAACATCTTATACAGTCAAAAGTATGAGTGTCTAGAGGACATGGATTCAAGCAAGTAACTAACTAGTTTAGTGTACCGGGAACATTTTACATGGTCAAAAGCATAAGTATCATGAGGAATTCGATTCGTCCCAGTAGCAAGTGGTAGTCGATATGTCTATGCCTTAAGGGGTGGTGAATCCAAAAATTATTTGCCGGATTCGGATTCAAATTTGCCAAAACAATTATCCGTTGATACGGATATAGATTCTGATATCGATATTCCTAAATGGATATAGATTTGGTTAAGGCATATCCAAAACGAATATTAACCATTTACACCCCTATCTATATGTACTCACAGTATGCTATACATTAGATTGAAATTTTTCCTAAAATCTTATTGTATTTGCTATCGCTTCTCAAAAATATTTTCGACTTGGTATCTCTTTTTTAAATTTTGGACTAAAAAAATTAGGAGAAAAAAATAATTTAAAAAGATCAATCTATCATCTCAAAAGTTATCCGGCTAAGGGGGAGAAGATTTTATGAAATACACTTGAAGATGTCTCGAGAAGCCTTGAGATGCACAAACATGTACGGAGGCTATGTGTGAAAGTTAGAGCTTATTGTTAAGGATAAGAAGAGATTCATCGTATGTATTTGCTTCAATATATATGTATATATATGTACATCTTAGGTGAATAAAGATAGAGAATTTTCCTCTTAAATACAGAATTCCAAACACCAATTTTTGGTTCAATATAAAGATAGAGAATTTTCCTCTTGCTTCTATATATATTTATATATATGTACATCTTCGTAGCACTTATATACTGGAGTGTACACACAAAGCATTTTACTCTTAAATACTGAATCCCAAACACCAATTTTAATTCATCATTTACATTAGATTTGAACACATTCGAAGAACTCATCATTCAGATTAGATTTGAGCATATTAGAAGATATTGATGTGAATCAAACCATCAAAACTTTTTACCTCAATCTCACTTCTTACATTTTGATCCTCTTATTCTTCTTGGCTTGTATTCTTGGTCCAATGAATTACACCTTTATCTTGTAAAAATCCTTTTTATGGTTTTACAATTAGGCTATCAATAGCGCTCCACCACAATTTACTCCAAATCTGCAGCTACTCAACATTGATAACACTCACAATCTCACTCACTTCACACTTGTAGTACCTCACTTCTACAGCAATGATTACATTTCAATTTTTTATTTAATATTTACATATTTCTATTCAAATTAAAATTCTCTCTTTTAAAATAGAAATTAAAATCTTTGTTTTTTTAGTTTTTTTTAAAGATTCTTTTCCATATTTTATCTTATATTTCTTTTAATATTTTTGTTTTCCATTTATATAGAATATGTTCAATTTTTCGTCCTATTTTATTTGTCAAATTTTTTTTCCTATTTTATTTTTTTATCATGAGCAAGAAAAGATAAATAACAGTATAAAATATTCTATTGCACAACTAAAAAAGGTTACTACTAATCTTTTTTAAAAAAATCATACAAATATGTTACAAGTAACACTAATTTAAATTTCAATTTTTGTAAGCATGCTTAACTTTTTTATATAATAAAAAAGAAAAAAAATTATAAATTAGACAAATTTAAAAGGGAAAAAGTATGATTACATAATTTATTATTAAAATGTTTTTTGCATATAAATTATATATGCAATGTTGGTATCTTTGTTTAGATCTTGCGAAAATATTTTCAACGATATATTTTATACAGTATCAAGTAATGACTTGTATGCAAAAAAGCTATGAAAAAAATACACATTACAGTTCAATAAATAAATGAAGAAAAAACAAAAAAAATTATTAAAGTGTCCTGCCTTACCATGACTGTGCTCCCGGAAATAATCCGGCCCTCCTCTCACTCCAATGGAGGATTGGTGTTCATGGTGTCTCACTCCATGGCAAGTGCCATGTAGGATCACACACAATTGAAGGTGGAGCGTTACGCTTAGCCTTAGAAAAATAAAGGATTAGGAGATCTTATCTACGTATGTGATTAGTAGGTTTTAAACATCCATCAGTTGCCCCTATCAATCAATAAAAGAAAAAAAATAAGCCTGTCTATATGTTTTTGCATTATACTTTAGTATCTTGAAAACACTATTTTACAAAACTCAAGTAAAAAAAAACCTCCCGACAGCTGAAGATCTGCCCACGCACCAAACCCAGAATAAAATTGTCTCTAACCATTTCCATTTAAGCCTAATTGCAGCAGGAAATAGAAATAGACATTACACACTTATATTTGCCTACTAAAAATTCGCCATATATTAAAAAAAACTGCTTGGTCCACTATCTATATTCACCAGTCCGTGTTTAGAAGCCAACCACACCTTTACATCTTGACCTCATCTGATCAGAGCAAACACCACGTGTTTATGCCATTTTGCTTTGAATCTGACGATGAATATGTATGAGGAACTCAACATATGAGAGTCCGGCTTGAGTCTTATCTTCGACCATATACGAGAAAAACAGCATTCCTGAAATATAACAAATAGCCCCGTCAAATAGTCTCTGTAAGTGACATGGCAATGGGTACAGCTATGTAAAAAAATTCTGCAGGGAAAATTTATAGAGAAAAGCGTACAACAGAGTAGGGAGGGCAATATGCCAGGTTCGGTTGGAGAGTACGAAACCCAAACCTGACCTGACTTTTAAACCCAAAACCCAAATCTGATTTTTTCAACTTGAAACCCAACCCGACCTGAACCCAACTTTTAAACCCGAAACCCAAACCCGACCCACACTTTAACCAATAACCAATTTCAAACCAAGCTTTTAACTAAACATCCGACTCGAACCCGACCAAAATTTTGACACATTAAATTGCTACATTTGCTTATACAAAAATGGGAAAATATATTATACGAAATTATACACAGTATTTTGTAGTCGAAAAATTAAATACAAAAAGACATGATAAACAAGATTGGAGACCGAACATGTGAGGTAAAAAACAATCGAGAAGGAAGTAGCGAGATGTGAGCTAGAGAGAGATGCGGTTGAGTGTGGAAAAGAACGAGATGTGAAGAAATGGGTGAATATATTATATCATACGCAATACTCCGTAGAGGCATAGAAAGGATTTTTAGTTTTAAATGTTCGGGTCGGATCGGTTTTTGGAAGGGAGCACGAAAAAGAGAAGAATCCCGGTGTTTTCCCCTTGTTGAGAATCTTTTTGTTCTTTTCCCTTAGTGAGAGACGAAGTAGAAGAAAGTTGGGACACAGTTTTGAAAGGGAGAAGCACATGGGAAGGCAAAAAATCCGAAAATATGGTGAAAGATCAAAAGTCCTCTATGTAGACTATTACCTCCATTTCAATGCAAATCTAAATAGGTTATAGTCCAAAATGTATGTGCCCTGTGTAGGACTAGGATAGATAGAAATAGGACAAGGTAAAACAAAGTTAGAATGCAGAATCACAAACCTGATGAATCACCTTTTTTGCATAATTTTAAGCTGCAAAGTGACAAAATAAAGCATGTCATAAATTAGAGATCCTATACACTCTTGGAAAGAAGAGGAGGTGACAGTGAAATGACTATCATACCGGAAATAGTTACACCTTTGGCGCCTGAGTTCATTTATGATTTCGTTAAGCTTCTTTGACAATTGATTGTCATATTGTTGCAGCACAAACTGTAAAACGGAAAAACATGAGATATATCCAATTCACACAAGCATAACATAATCTATTTTATCTCTTTAAATGGATAGGACCATAGGGGTGACTTAAATTTTGTGTAAGGCTAACGGGAAAATTGGTTTGCTCATGGATTACAGATATATTATAATTTTATCCTTGTTTACTCTTCAAGGTTACCTAATCATTTATAGAACTATTTAAGGATAGATTGATAATTTCAAATAATGTGTGGGACCCCATACAGTGGGATAACCTGAACCAAGACCTGGCAATAAACTTCTAACATTCATAACTGGAATGGCGGGTCAAAGATATCGGGCATTTCTAAGGTCCCAAAATACTAGAATGACATAATCC